CAGGGGTTTCATTAATGTTTTCTGCAGGAGGGCAACTGGTTTTCACAGGCAGGCAAAACTCTTTGAACTGAACTTCTTTATAAGATAAACTTTCCTCGAGATGGTCAAATCAGGTGGGCAAAGCCGTCCTCACAACCGGTCAATTTGCCCGGTGCCTGGCCCTTAATGAAACCCCCGAATGCATATAACAAAAAACCCAAATTGTAACTGGTTGATTTTGTAAATTGAAAAAGGCATAAAAACTTGTTTACTCACTGCAGCCTGCGCAGTTACATGTGTGCAACCAACAATTTTTGCTCCTTCTAATGGCTTGTCCGTGCAATTCCGTTTTCGCAGGAGCATAAGACCTGGCATTTCTGTAGGTAAAATAAGTGTAACACTGATGAATATTTCACTTATTTACCTATGATAATTCTATAAAGATTAATTAATTTTTCCAGAATACATTTGTATGCATTGCTGAAAAAGTACCACTTTAAATGGAACTCTTATTGATGTTTCATATTAAAACAATGAAAGTCCTAAAAAGAAAAAGAAAAATTTTCGCGTGAAAGAAATGATATACTCTTTTTACTTTCATCTTTATTTCCAGTATGCCAAATGTACTTAGAGCAAAATTCATACAAAACTATACCAAGTAAACTTAAAATAAAAACATAGAATATTCTTCATTATGGTTACGATCTGTTTTAACCAAAAAAAAACTACAGGAACCTCTTTTCCAAAATTCAGATGATTTTCAGATTGAGGATTAAAATCAAATTCAAATCTGAGAAGCAAATTTCACATGATTACGTTCTGTAACACTGTGAACAAAACAAAAGCTTATAAAGAAAATCACATCAAATTGGAGAAAAATGTCTTGTGCTGGTAAATATTCACTACACAGGGCACAAATGGCAAAACTGTCATGACAACAGAGGCAGCCCACAGTACTGGAATAAAAAATATGTTACATATTAAGTTATTTAAGGGTACGCTGGATTAGATTGTATTATTAAAAGACAGTGAACAAGTCCCTCTATCACAACATAAATTTCTGCTTGCCTTGTTCAGCTATTTCAATTTCCCTGCGACCAAAGTCAGCCAGCTTAATATTCTTAACACAAAAATCAGATCCACCGCTGCTGTTTTTCTGCACATAGAAAATGGATGTATCATACTCTACTCTCTACAGTGCTTATACTGTTACTAGGGTCACTTAACCACTTTCACTTCCAAGATCTCAATAGTCATTCTCTGTACCATCTCCCATACAATTCTTATAATGCAAGTTTGAAGAATTTGATATTAGATCAACTACAGTCTCAATAGCAATTCTCTTGTCTGTCTGCCATACAAATCTTGCGATGCTAGTGCCAAGACTTTGGTGTACGATCAACTAATAATTCCCTAATAGTCCATTTCCGAATTACGATTGGCCTTTTTTTCAAAACGAGGCCTGGTGCTCAACCATAAGTATGAAAATGAGTTTATTTGCATGTGAATGGAAACTTATTACCATACAAAGGGATGAGCACCAGGACTCGCTTTGGAAAAAAGAGGCTAAAGGCAATTCGGAAATGAGCTATTGATATTTTTTTTCATTCTCATCACTTGTCTGCTTGATATTGAATTGATATTGTAAGGAGAAATTCTGTCTTGGTCACTTATAGGAGTTAATAAAAGAGTAAACTATTTAAAAAGATCAACATGTAATTTCTCCTTGAAATTTTGAGACATTTTATTGCAAACACAAGTGATAAGGAAAGGCCAGCTTTACAGCTGAAGGGTTTTATCTTGATACAGCAACAAATTCTCTTGTCTCTTTTTACAAGGAAATATATGGCTTTAGGTAGGGAGAATCACTGCTCAGATCTTGGGAGTTCACCGATGAAACAAAATTGAACAATCACAATTCAAGAAATAAATGACGATTCCTGATACACACAACTTTGTCACTCACTACTTTGGATCAAAGAAAAAATGAGGGTGTAAACGAAAGTCATGGCTTGTTTATTGCAATTGAAGTTATCAGTTTGGTACACGTAACCCTAGCAACATCAAACATATTATGAAACAAATTGTTACAATATTTTTCTCTGTGGACATGTCTGTGAAAGATGCACTTGTTTGTAACAGTTCATGAATGTTAAGTGAAAAGTTAGCAAAAATGTCTCACACAAAATGAAACAAACTAAAGAAACAAAATGGTAGAATGAAAAGAACATAATCATTAACAAAATAAAAACAATAAAAAATAATGAGTAAATAACACAGAACAAGAGAGATGGTAGGAAACTGAGAAGAACAGCAGCAGCAAAGCAACAGCACACATAAAATTAACGAAAACAAACAATTAAACCTTTCATATATCTAAAAAACTGCGGGTTTCTATAACACTGACCTCAAATATAGATGTAAAGTCCTAAGCTTCATACACTGCCATGAGCATTGCTTATGCAAGGTGTTATAAAGACAGACATAAAGACAGCACAGCAGTTGAAATGTCATGATCAAACATTTGGTAGTCTGACTATTATCAAGAGTTAAATGATGAAACATTTCATTTATCTACAAAACCACAATGAACACAACATTTTCCATACAAGCATTCCTGTGTGACAATGCAGAAGAGCCTGACCACTCAGATATCAACTTATTATTGACTCAAAAATATTTAAATTAGCAAAAATTCCCAAATGAACTGTGTGACATGTATGACAATGCAGAAGAGCCTGACCCTTCAGATATCAACATAATTATTATTGACTCAAAAATATTTTTAGCAAAAATTCCCAGGAGAACTGAAGCTCAATTGACTCTGACCAATCTTTCGCCGAAAAAAGAAAACAAACTACCTCTTCATCAAAAATGTTAGTCTGCAATTCTATAACTTAAATCTCCTTCTTGAGAACATAATGTATCAACTACAATTTTTTTCTAAGTATGTCTTTCAATATTTGGAAAATAATGCTCAGATTCAAAGTAAGAAATGAAATGCTCATCAACAAAGGGGAATTTTAAAGAGGTACAATCAGAAACAATTCTTATCCAGTACATTACACCTGGCCAAGGATTAGGGAATAATCCTTACAAATGTACACAAAGATCTTCTTCTTCAACTTTATAATTCTGTGCTATATTTAAATGAGCAAGTATCTTTTCAGTTGCCTTAAAACTATTTTGGATTAGTGAAAACTGATTATATTCATATATTGTAATAATAACTAAGAGACAGTCTTCAAAATATCTTACAGCCCAGAAAGTCAATACAGGTATCTATTTTGCTTGAACAGCCATCCATGAAATTACTATTCTGTGGTTTATCATTGTGTTGAGATGCTGAGCTGTGTGAGTAGAAAAAAACCTTGCAGCACACTTTCAGTCAAATGCTGAAAAAAATTTGTAACAAACAGCCAATCTCCAAGAAACAAGCACAACCAAATTCCAATAGATGCCATCTATATTGTCATGCACTCCACAAAAGCCAATATAATTAAGCTGTGTCACATAGTACTCTTTTCATTGCATCTATGCACGGAACCTTTACAAATAAACACTTTTAAAGAAATAACAATCCGTTGGCCCAAAAAAGTTGAAAACCTCAAAATCTTGATCAGAAACCGGACAATTCCTTTAAAGAACGCTCATTACGTAAGCATATGACGTCATGTTTGCCTCACCGGTCACACTTTACTAACTTTAAGAGTCTTTGAACATATTGCAAGGTCTACACCATCTCGGTAAATTTCCCCCAACGAAAGTATTTTGTTTTTGAACCGCAGAAACCAAGAGGAGTAATTTGTGCTGTTGATATCTACGTATGACACCCACCGATTTTCTCTCTTTTTACTTTTTTTTTTTTTCATTCTAGCTATCGATTGAACGGCTGGTTGGAGTTCATTTATTTATTTATTTTTCAGTTAAATATACGCTCGCTGCTCTCACTCTTAATTGCCGTTCACTGCTTCTGCTAATTTTCATAGGATATGAATCCTTAAAGAAAACTACACACAAGCTAAGAACACCGGACACTGTCGATTCAATATTCGCTCAATTGAATCAAAACACCCTGTAAGCTTTGCTTATTCTAGCTCGTACAAAGTTTTATGCATATGTTATTAGCATTTAAGCTTTTAGCAGTGAAGATTGAAGGCGAAGAAACAGGCAAAGAGGTTGTAGATAAAGTTTCTTTGATATCAGATTTAAGCACATACCTGTGATCTTTCCCTTGGCGATACATCGTCTTCATCTGATGAATAGCTGTCTGAATAGCTAGCTGCAAGAAGGCGAATAATGTAAATTTTAATGACATGAACTGCTGCTTGCAGATAAGCGCAGGCACAAGTTACAAAAACTAAAACTACTCTAGAATCAATCTGGAAATACATGGATCGTTCAAAGAGGAAACCTAAGATTCAAAACTTCTGTAAGAAAAAGTTTTTTAATACTGTATTAATACGATTACAATTTGGAACTAAAAATAAAGAGCGGCTCAAGATCACATCCCAAAGCACGAAGACGAACGAACTGTTGAAGGAGTACATCCTCTTGTATGAAAACTCATGAAATATTGAATTCTCAGACGGAACAGGAGAAGAATCAGAATATGGGAAAGAATCTTTAAAAAAGAGTAAAATACATGCTCGCTTCACCTGAGCTTCCTTAACTGTCTGTGGAAGACACCGAAATTGAACGCCTTCGAAGGCGAGGGGGTCGCCTCGACATGCTTTCAGAAAAACTTAAACCCTAGAGCGAAAAAACGCACTAACTGTCAGACACATATATCACAACGCATCGAAAACTATATCAAACACGAATGCCGAAACCTCTAGTGCCTTAAGATGAGGCGGTCTTTGCGCAGCAGCCGGAGACTTGTGGACGCGATGATCACCTTCCGAAGCCGCCATGTTATTGTAGTAACAAATGGCCTACATAGAGGCATGGAATCGAGGTGACCAATCGGACAAGAGCGCTCAACTGGAAAAAGGAAAAAGATACTTCCCTTCCTCTAAACAAATAATTCTTCTTACATTTTGACGCAAAAGTAGACTTCCTGTACATGTTGATGATGTACTTAAGAACTCTTTGGGTGGTAAAAAAAATTAATCTTCACAATCTACGAACAATATATTTGTGAAAAAAACGTGTCTCTTACTCGTCGTCGACGCCAAAAGTTTCCTTTTCTTCTCTCGGCCGAGTGACTGATGTGTCCCAGAATGACGCACACCAGAAGCAATTCAAAGAGTCAGGTGTGTAAACGGGAAGCCCTTAATTTGAGGCATTTTTGAAACAGGTGTGGAAACTGAACTTAACCACAAATTTTCGCTATTTCTAGCCTCGAATACGGAGGATAAAAAATCTTCTTTCTTGGAGTCCGACTAAGAACTAGACACAACCGAAAGAAAGTCAAACGCCGTGGCTCGTGGTCTTCAGATATTAAGGTAATATTTTCACATTTCAAAACAGTTTAAGACCCAGAACACCCCTTCTTCCCACCTTGGTAGCAAATAATTCGGATCAAGCGATTCTTCTCAAGTTGGGAAAAACATTTTTTAACAAAGGAAAAATATCGAACCGAGCGTCATTTATGAACAGCACCAATGACAAACCTAAGATTAAAAGAACTTTTTTAGTAAGAAATTAAAATCTTTTGCCTGGTTATCGGTATGAATACTAAAAAGGATGGAAAACGCAAATTTTCAATAAAAAAGAGTGACTTTTGAGCGCGCATTCAAAATGGAAATTTTTTAATTTCTGGTTTTGCCAGACAGCTGACAACGGAGGATTTTAGCAAGACCGTGAAAGGATATTCTCAATCTCGAATTTGAAATTTGGAAATTTCAGTTAGCCTCCTTTTCATTCGTTGATCGTCGAGCTTTCAAAGAGGTGCACTGAGTTTAGGAACGGAAAATATACGACCGTCAACCTTTGATTTCGTAATTTTTTTCCTTCTTTTGTACGGTACGAGCAAGAGAACAATATGGCTTATTGCACAATTTTTCAAGTTTTTTGGCAAGTGTCATCGACAATTTTAATTTGTTATGCGCAGCACATGGAAATTAGACACAGAAAAGAAGAGTTTTTTTTTTTTTTTACAAGTGAGTCAAAAGCACATGTTTGATGACGTTAGACCATGGACAAATGGGCAGCACTGCATGTACATATGTAAAGCATTTTTCAAATTCTCTATAAGATTTTGCAAGCTTGAATAATATTTGCCTATAAAACACCCTAGATTGAAGAGTGATTCGTACTCAGGTACTGGTTTTAAGGAATAATTTTATATCTCAATGAAATCTGAAGATTGCATTCTTAGTAGAAATGATCGATCGTTGTTCAAATAGCGCTTCATATAGAAAATGATGAAACTTGCAAGTCAGTATGTCTAAAATTATTGAACCGGAAAGAGGTGTTTTGAAGCTCTTCATATCGGTTGGTTTTGCCGTGATGTTATTGGCTGTAAGACTCAAGTGACGTAAGTCGGTCGTGATTGGTCTGTTTCGGTGTGAGCGATGAGGACGGTAACATATACCCGAAATGTTAAAAGTGTCTACAAACCTTTTTTTAACCTTAGTATCCAAAATTCTGAATTTCATTACTCTGTTCGATCTGTCAAAGTTTTCTTTTTTAATTTTGGTGGAGAAGAATGGGTTTTCAATTGAAGTGTATCCCTTAATTGATCCTTTTTTGAAATTCGTATCACTTTCCTGCTTGAAAATGTGTTAATATTATGATGAGAAGTATTTCTTCGTCCCTCCCAAGGGTGAAAGGGTAAGTTTTTTTTTTTAGCTGAAACTGTAGATGACACCATAAAATTTCGAAAGATTATTGATAGGGGAGCGCACATGAAATTTGACGCTGGTATAAATGTTCTGTGCCAGTGAAAACGACTTATTTGATTTTTCATATACTAAGATGGAAAGGGTTTTATTTCCCCGGATACAAACCCAATGGAAAATGTCTTTTGAACTGTCAGTTTGACGGAATGATGGTGAAGAGGAATATTTCTACTTCAACCAAGATTCTTTTTTCCTTGCTAAGGGCTGTTAGCTGAATACAACGTGCTCCTTAGTTGATAGGAATTTTGTGCTGCTGCAATCGTAAGCTTTTGACATTAGTGGGTTTAGTCATTCAACAGTTCTACCATAGTTATATAATTATATTCTTATAATTGAGACAATTCCAGAACGAAAAGTATGGAATAGAAATCAAATTCTTACCTGACGTCTGAGTACAAGAAAGAAATCGGACCATTTTTGTCCGGAGACACTGATTTGTGTGCATATTTTTGATTTCGCTCGTACTTTAAATCAATTTCAGATAGCTCTGCAAAGCAGTCATTAAGGGCAATGATATAACTTTGGTGTATTCACTACCTTTGTTGAATTTAGAATACACTATATGCATATTTGAATTAAAAAGTGAAATATTTCGGTTTTCCTTATTGTTGTCACAGACTTTAAAAAGCGCTTCTACATGCATGAAAATGAATGATAATCGTAGCAACATTATTTCCACTCGTACTATCAAATTATTGATTAACTGTTTTTGATTTTTGTTATGTCTTGCAGGCTTACCCGCAAACCGGGATACCTTGCTTCCTTACATGGAAACAAATATATATCACACGAGACACGGGGGCAAGGAACTGCAGAGGATCAACCTACCCCCCATCAGCAAACCCCAGAGGGGTCCAATCGCCGTATTTATATATTCCCTGCCCCGTCCAAACCAGCCGCTTTCAGCAATTTCATCCGTAATTTGATCAAGAAATGCTGAGGTTCTTCACTCCGCGATATGATCAATAAGTAATTTCTCATTTAAATATCAATATATGGTCACACAGGCAGGTAATGATAGTAATATGCATATCAATATATACATACATAAATAGAATAAATGTTTGAAAAGAAAATTTTCCCTGAGCGGGATTTGAACCCACGTCCCCATGTTTCCCTTGTATACAGAATAAATATATACATACATATATATATATCGTAAGTCGTTAATGGAACTCTCAGGCCAACAAAGGTGCACCGCGCCAGGAGGATCAATGAAGATTCGTAGTCCAAACCTCACAGCCAACACGAACGTAGAAAGTTTAAAAAATTGCCAGGATGAACAACTTCTGACGTAAAAAATATAAAAAATTTTAATCAAATTTATAAAAATTTTTTATATTTTTTACGTAAGAAGTTGTCCATCCTCGCAATATTTTAAACTTTCATACAAATATATATATATATGTATAGGCTCTAAGAGGCACAGTCACAAAAGCATTCTGATATGATATGCAGTATTAGTTCGAGAGAGCTAGCTATCTAACCAACTGACGTAAACTGATCATTGCAATACAAAAACAGCATTTAACACGGCACAGAGCCAAACATCGGTCGCTGCAGTTAAAATACAGCGTTAGTGCTTTGACGTCATGATCAAAGTTCGTCAACTTGCGAATGCCCTTGACTCTCGTCTAATACGTCACGTGGTGCAAGGCTCGATATGATCACGTGATACAGCCAAACAGGCTACCTCATGCTAGATCATCAAAGAGACAATTGGCATCTGCAAATCATCTGTGCTAAGAAAAGTCATAAACACCAAGGAGCTACTACAGTTTATTTGAGTTTCGTTCTCTTCCCTTTGAAAAGAAATTCGTGTGCGAGCCTTGGATTTTGCGTCCTTCTCGAAATGCTTCATCAAATATACTCAAGTAACCCTTTTGGTACCCAACAGAAAACCATTAAAGCATATCAAAATGCTAATAATCAATGGATGCAGTGGACTTTGGAAACTCTTAAGTTTGTTATTCAACGCGCGCGACTGCAACAAAAGAGAAATTGGTAAACAACAATGTTAGGAATTTTTGAAATCTATCATTTAAAATTTGCACCTTTCTTGTGGCGGGAAAAACAGAGTTTCAGTGGGATCAGAATAGAAGCTTTCTTTAAAGGCCTTGAAGCCCTCCCCAAAAACACAATATCGATTCAATCTAACTGGGGAATGATTCAAGGAAAAGAAAAACTAATTTTACCACAATCGGCAGCAATGTCGCAATCTGATTGGCCAATTTGCCGTTGTCGATGGGAGTACAGACAACGCAACTCGCGTCAACATGTCACGCAACGTGTCACGCACTGGAAAAAATCGCTTTATTTGACGTTCAGTTTGTGGTAAAAAAAAACGAATCGGCAGTGCTTTAACGTGGTCTGTACTCCTATCGACAACGATATATACATTTTGACCACTGTGATGAATAATATCGTTGTCGATAAGAGTACAGACTAAGCTAAACCACTGTCAATTTGTTAAATCGATTCAGATTGTTGTTAAGGCAAGTCCCAACAAATTCAAACAGAGAGATTCCAACGCTTTACCTTTAACACCCTAACATCAGTGCGCACATTATCCACACTGTTCTCTTTACATTTCCTGCGGTGCTGACAAGGATAATTTATGCACAGTCCCTTCAGCTGGCAATCATTTCTTACATTCCCACGGGCTTAATGTTCGATTCTGTTCGAATACCGTAAGGAAAAATTAGCTACTGGTCACTCACGGTGGTTAAAAGTGCCGTTCATCACTTCTTAACTGCAATCACGTGCTCGAATCACTGAGAAAGTCAATTTTCCAACACAATATGCAATTCAACTCGTTCAGAAATGTCTGGTTTAATTCACGACTCGTTAATTTTTTCACTCTCCCTTTTAGTGTTTTCTTTTGAATTTTCTTATTTTGAACACGAACACAAATCAGGCTAGCAGGCTACCTTGGAAGACTTTCGATATGGGTAGCAATTTCGATACGCACGCGCCCATTCCTTTCGCTACAACTGGACTTTAAACTACCATTATCAAGGTCCTAGCCAGTTTCCAACGAATTCAAGCGGAAAATTTTATGCATTGAAACAAATTTAACAGTAGTCAAGAGGCCAAAACCGTCGATAGCCTCAGAATATTAAAAAAAATGATACCTGGCAGAAATACCAACAGAAATACCGACAAGACGACATTTGCTTGTTCTTTAGAGACACGGCATATAAATAAAAAACATAAATAAAAAATTAGAGACAAAAGATTTGTGTGTAAACTGACAAATGTAATCGACTATCATATTATGTACAGTGACCGAGATACGAGAGCCCTAGCTGCATGGTCAAAAATCTGTTGATAACTCCCCATGGAAAATTGAAGTTTATTTTATAAAAGCGATAGAGCGCACATTCTATCGGTTTGCCGACGTGAGGACCCACGCAGGATGGCAGGATGCTCGGTAAAAACGAGAAAAGTTTGTAAATCACGAGCCAGGGGCGAGTGATCTATAATCTTTCCTTGTGCTCTCCAACATCCTACATTGGCTATTACGTCGACAAACCGATAAAACGTGCCGTATATTGCTTAAATGAGCCCGAGATTTCTTTCGCGTGATTGTTTGTGATGACGAAGTCCAATTCTAATTGGTTTAGCTTAAATTTCCCTGACGTTAAACACTTAACACTGAACAAGATTGGCTCATATTAATATCTCTTTGCTTACTATCACACACCTTCAGCATCACTATCTATCAAGCAATAGCCAGCGAGAAGTGTACCCAATCAGATTGCAGCATTTTAGAAAGAAAGTTTGAAGATTTATACCAATAGTGGACACATTGTATTGGGAAAAAAGTCAGAACTTAATTACACAATTAATATCAACTTTTTTAAGACTCCAGATTCAATATTCATCGTCTAAGTGATTGCTCGTTCCTGCTGAAATTTATATTTGCAATAGCGTGGAAATATACTCTTCCAGAAACGAGAGTGGTAAGATTTTCTACTTTTTTCGGGCAAAGAAACAAAATTTTAAGATAACAAAGCAAAAACTGAGAGTTTCTTAGCAATGCCAGTGACTATGTTTAGCGATAACAATAATAAACATAATAAGAAAAAAATGGGAAAATCGTACAAAAGCGTATCTAATATACACCTAACAAAAAAAAATTACGTCGTATTGAACCAAGTGCAAATGTCGCCGGCAGAAATATAGCCTGATTCCATGTCACCTACTTCGATATGTTTTGTATGGAAAGAAATAAAACTACTCAGCGAAATTAATCTAAGAGTAACAAACTAAGGATCTTTTAACTAGCGCTTCTGTAGTAAACGTTTCAGTGGCAATCTTATTTTTTATATTGCACTTGAGTAGATTATATTTACAAACGATAGTATCTTCGTTATATTTGCGTTTCAACAGTCAGTCATATTGATCTGGAGACAACCTTTAAACGTAAGTTAGATACTTAAAAATACAATTTCAATACTATCTTATCTTCTAGGAATATCTAAAAACGGAGGAGTGATTTTGGAGTTTCGGGGCGAAAGAGGTCCAATTCACCCTTGAGGGTACTTCGATCAGTATTACCGTTAGGAAGAGGAAAGGACAAATAACAAAAAATAAGACTATATCGACCGAACAGTCTTAAAGGCTTTTCAAATCCAAGGAAAATTGCGTTTTGAAAATTATCCCGATTCACAATTAGGTGAGTACTATTTTTTTTTTTCAAACCGGAAATCAACATACAAGTTTCGTTAATGAAACTTCCGGTATCAATGGATTGTTTGTCTGCCCTTTGTCTATGAACTGATCGTCACAATCTACTTACAAGAGCTTTGTCCTCGACATTTCGCATGCGAGTCACAAACAATTTTACAGCTTTGAACATTCAATCGACGAGAAAAAAGGAATCAGTAAGGTGTACGAAGTAGATCTAAATAATTATGTAAAAAATAACGCTGTCAAGATTTTGTGCAAATAGAGTGACGCACATGTGATAAGCATGATTTCGTAATAACGTCCTTTACTGTATTGTACATGTACAGATTACAAAACTTTGAAACTATTTCTATCCGTTTCATGCTATGTGTAGCATTTACGCGCATGTACACCGAGAAGATCTCAGCTTCAAGGCGCAAATTTTCCATTTACCAGGCCATATGTTTTGTTGTATTTGTAAAGGCGTTTATCTGAATTCTTCTATGCTCACGTGTTACGTAAGAGGAATACCGCAAAGGTCATTTGTATTTTTAATTGCTCGATAAAGGATCAAGGACAGGAGTATGAAATGAGCACAAAAGAACTCGTGTCGCCGTCACAGACTATCCACGTGAAGCACGTATGACGCGTGACAAAAGCGTTCTCTTTGGAGTCACGTTGGTCTAAATCAGTAAATGAGCTTCTAATGATTATTTTAATTACGTTTCTTTTTTGGGAACATAAAAGTAATATATATATAAACAAAATTAACTACTATAAAGAAGGCACTTTCTCTCCTACACGCTGGCACCAAGAGTTCTAAGAAATTTCGTTCCAGAAATTCCTTCGAAAGGCACGGGTCGTACACGAGCTTGTGACCTAACATTGTATGTCACGCCATGCAACGTAGACGACTGTTCGTGAAATATTTGCCAGAATCTGAGAAAATAAACCTTTAAGAAGTGAGAGGATTACTTCTTCAGGCTGCAAGGCTTATTTTGTGCCCCCTACCAGTGTTGCATTGTTTCACACAGTCGAAGCCGTCAACTCTTGATTGATTGTCACGTAATATGAACAAGATATTTGCATATGTCGACAGAAATTGCATTAGTGACTGGGGATGTGATTTAAAGAGAGAATCGAACGTGATTATTCAGTCTCTCTGAAGAATATTTTCGGAGAAAAGTGCGATCAGACGAAAATTCGCAGCGTAAGTTTTTCAGTTCGCAAAAAGAAGCTTTAAGAGACGCGATCATTATATAGGGACTTCATGACGTCGGGATCGAAAATGAAGCGTATTTTTTTAGCGTTTCAGATTGGTAATATACAAATGATATTCAACTAAAAAATTTTCTAGAATAGAATATGAGCATTTAACGTCCTTGCGGTACACCACGACGAATATACGACAGTGAACCCCACAGAGTACAAGGTAAATACGAAAAACAAACTTCAGCAATATAGACTACGACTGAAGGAAACCTAATATATTAAATTAAAGAAAGCTGTTGGCCATATCGGAGTAGCCTTGTATTTTTAATGATGTATTCAACACTCTTTAACATTGTCCGGCTTCGTATCCGGAAAGCCCGCCACTCCACCTGTTACACGAAAAATCATCGCGAAAATCCCACTGCAGAATGAAAACGTCTGCAAATTCATGATTGATGATATTATTTGAACAGAGAAGCTGCAATAGTTTACTGCCATCCTTATTTGTTTAAATAGGATTTTTGCCCCCTGCAAATTCTAGAATCTATAGGTCGTTTATGGCGAGACAAGAGAGACATGTAGAAAGTCACGCAATATGTTCCTTGTATTTGCATAACGATGTGTACAAATATTTCGAAAAGCGAATTGAGAACAGAAAACGCCTCTCAATATAGTTTAAATAGAGAACGCTTTTTGTATGTTTTACATCCACGATATCTGGCTAATTTACTGAGGTGTGGAACTTATTGGGTAAAATTGATTCATCGCCTGAAATGCAGTCTGGGGTTAGTTCCATCATAAAAACGCGGTGATGAGTTAAGAAAAATAATAACAATCTTAATAGAAAAAAAATCGTGGGAAGAAAAAGCAAGGTTAGACAATTCAAGGAGAGGAAACTTGCGATCAAGCATAGATAAGCAATACACCTTAAAATCTCGACGGTGACTTCGGAGTACAACTTCAATTGCCTGGAATTTTAATCGTGGTCGGGAGAGAATCGACATTTCAAACAACAAACCTGAACTGTCTATCGAACTGCTCCGGGATATCGATCTGTAAGAATTCTGCTTGCGGATGTACTAAAAACAAGAGCGAAATAAACTGTTATCATCTCACGTAAGCCTTACTTGAAAAACAGGAACGAACTAGGCGATTAAAATCTTTATTTATATCATTGTTGTTGAAGCTGTTCGTGACATAGATAGATTCTCTCAGTTTGGCTATCAGGCGCTCTTCACTATGTCATGTTCATTTCTTCTTGACATGGAACTATTTCCAAGTTCGATCACTTTTAACCAACTAATCTTAACTAAGGCTTAGCTGAAAGGCCTGAAGTAATTTTAACCAGCAATTTTAACAATAACAGCGACACATTTAACATTGTTTAAACAGGTATATAAAACGCCTATGAAATATTTCTTAGCCAAGAGTCAAGAAAATTTTAAACATCAGACTATGTAATTGGGAGGAGGCTCGAAAGCCTAACTAACGGTGAAGGCAAGAAGTACCCCTTAAATTTGCCTATTTGAAGGCGAGAAAAAAGGACCGTCCAGAAAGGAAACGCTGCGGTTGAAAATCATTGCTGTCTTACTCCAGCTCTGAGGTTGCGTGAGCCGGCGTTGAAATATCATCATCGCATCATTTCCACCTTTCGCCGGATGCCAGTAGAATTTCAGTAAAAAACATTTCACTTACTCGTTTATTTTCATCCGCTTCGGGTTTGCCAGCTTTGGCTGAGTACGACTGAATGGCCACCGAGTTCTTCCGATTCCACATCGACATCTTTAATGAAATAATCCAAATCTTTAACAAAGGTCGCGGCGAAGCCCAACCGGCATCATGTATATTTCATAGCTGTTTGGAGTTCAGTTTCTTTTTATAATGCATTATAATGGTTTACCAACCAGCTTCTGTATTGTGTCATGACGTTGACGTTGCCGTGACAACCGGGCTTTGTATTGGACAGAAACGAAAGGCAGAGAGCTATATATTGCGACCAGACAACAACTCATTGAAAAATCCAATATTAAAAGAGGCTTTTAACCATAAACAGTGTGTTTGAACCTGTATGTGTATGTGATGTAGTGTATATTTGAGTAATAACATTCTCGACACGGTTGGCGTAGTTGCCTAAGGACTGGACTCTAATAGGTGGAACTAAATTATGGTTCCTTCCGTTTAAGAACTTCGTTTTCATGACAGTTTCAAACTCAAATCTGCAGGGTCGCTTTTAAAATTGCAAATTCCGAAATAAACGGCGCTAGTATCAGAAAGATTGCCACTTCATCTTTAAAGTAAAATATCTTGTACTTTGGAGTCATGCAATTTTTCAGGCACCAGTAGATATGAACAATAGACATTGTTTTGAGCTTAAAAAAGGACATCTAAGATATCATGATTTATAATCCTCTGAGTGTCAGAATTTCATGGGAAACTGCAAAGAAGTATTCATCAATTCGCGCTGTACACAGCCAATAAAAAAGGTGATATGTTGTGTGTTTCCAACAGTTAAGTGCCAGCGGCAAAAAAAAAAAAAAACTCATCACAATAAGAGACTAATTAACCAATATCAGTAACTTTTAATCACGACCTCTGAGAGGAAGGAATACAAACACCAACATCGTTGACGACTTCAATGGTATTTACTTCTGCAGCCACAAAGAAATAAAAGAGTCTCGCAGCCTGAACAACTGCTAATGCAGTTTGGTGAATTAAGTCTGGCATTAACAGGATTAAGTAAGACACCCACTTAGACAGTATTGTCAATTTTTATCACCAGCTGCGAAAAAAGAAGTCCTGTTCAGTCAGCCGCACACGCACACTTCGTTTTAGTTGACAACTGAATATTACCTCGACGAGCGAGAGGATTAGCAAACTATGGCAAATTGTCAACTTCGTATTTTTTTGAAAATTGAATGCACGACCTAGTAGTGAACAAGTGAAGCGCCTTTTTTAGCTGCATTTTTCTTAAAAATGCGCAAAGAGAAAGCAGTGTGTCTAAATACGACTGATATAAAAACGATGGTTTCTGATCTCCATATTGCCTTTTAATGTGGTTCATGTGTCCAGGGAACCATTTATGGACTTGAAAAATTCAGCTTTAAAATTACAATTTTGGTTACCTAGGTGCTTTCCCGTCCTCAAACATCTCTTTTTCTATTCATTTTTTCCCCCCCTTTTTTTTTTTTTTCGGTTTAACACTTCTATTACGAGCCTTTTTCTTCCGCTCGCCAATCCAATATTTGGAAGTCTCTCTCTCTTTACATGTCCAGAATTGACCAATCAAAATAACCTTACCCATTCACTCTAGATATCAGTTTTCCGCATTACCTGCCGTGCACATATTTTGATTTTACCTCAAAGAATTTGGTGTTAAATGCATGGGCGCGCGTAGATATGGAATATTTCTTTTCGCGTTAAACTTGGTAGCTCACGAGTGAGTGCAGCAAACGGGTGAAATATCGAGCTGAACACGAGACTGAAGAGGACTTCCATAGCTACGAGCAACCATGTTTCTTTTTCAGTGTGAACTCCATAGGCCTTTAATGACTAGAGAAGTCAACTTTAGGAATGAGCAGCGCAAACTGGAGGGCGAGAAGTTAAATGCTGATATCATGAGAAAAAAAGTTTTCTCTAGGTGATTTTTAAACATGCGCTTGAAGTCCTTGTAAAAAACACCAGGTTCTACAATAAGTGTATCCTCCGATAATATTTCTCTATTCTCTCTCCACTTTCTAGTATGCTTGGGAATGTATCGTTAATTTTAAGGAGAAGTTTCCTTTTGGTCACTCCCTTAAGGATTAACCATGGAAACAAAGGTTTTCCGGCCAATAGGAGCACGACTATGAGGAGACCTAAGAGCGTCTCCTTTACGGCGAATTCTTTACACTGCTTGGCTCACTAGCAGCTTAGCAATCAATGAAACGAACAGATTACGTTTGCTTAGTAATAAGTAAATCCGTTCGCCCGCCCGCGCACACTTGACGGTGAGTGGTATTCACTCTTTTCCTAACGCTGTCTTGAGCCCAGATCATACTGCACGATCCGTTAATGTCAACCGGTAGAAAACATGGGAACAAGTTGCTAACTAACTTTAGATGGGGAGACGCAGACACAAAAGTAACCAAGGGTTTACTTTCGGGATGAAAAGCTTTTTCTGAATGAGATTAAAAAAAGAAAGCTGAGCCTCGTAAAAAATCTAACCCGATTATAACCTAGTTTTAACTTCGAACCCAGATCTTACCGCGAACCTAAAATATGGTATCTGCTTGCAACAGCTTGGCCGTGGGAGGTCTTAGTAGGAGACTGGAATAGTATCCCTTCTACGAGCGCGCAAAAACCTTTTACTTTTGAGGAGTTCTGTTTCCTTTGGAAGATGCTATATTGCTTAGGAAGTAACAATATGAAACACTTCAAATTTCAAGTCATTTACGAGCTGTTAAGGAATAATTGAATTTTTTTTTCAAATCTGGTTGAGTAGATCAGGTCAAACTCTCGAGAAATATGCGGTTGAATATCGACCGACACGGATAAACCCCTTGCCGTGATTAAGTATGACGAAGTTTCTTTCGTCATTCAGTCATTAAGAAGTATTCGAGATTTCGATGGCACAGAGAGCACTATTCGATTGAGTACCATACAACCAAAACCAAAGTAATTAATAAGGCCAATAAACAGAGGAAAGGAAAACACTTTTGAAATCCAAAGAGAACTCAACGAAAAAACAACCAAACTTGAGTCAGGCCCGGGAAAATGCCGGCGACCCGCCAAATCGTGATTAGATTTTGTTTTGCATCTGATTGGCTGAGAGAGTGGCACGAGTTTTCTGGACCTATCAAAGAGCGAAGTAAATCAAACTCGTGCAGTATCGGACTACTTTCGGCACTCACTTGCAAATTGCTCTATACTCAGTCAATACTAAAATAAACGATTTTTAAAAATAATGGTTTATTTTTGATGGAATATGGTTGAAGTGAAGTAGGTCAAAATGTACGTCAGATATCGTCAAAAATAGTCCACTCGTCGAGGAAATAATTTAAAAACAATTTCTTTTGTCATTACTTCAGTTGAAGAGCGCGGATGTAAATCTTCTCTCTTCAGCCACATAAAAATAAACCATTGTTCTGATAAAAAACGTTTCACACATTGTTACTCTGACATGATTCGAGAGGAGTATCATTTTGACGGCATGTTTTACGTCGCTTATTCTCAAGTTCCACTTTGAGCTATTTTTGCAGAAGAAACCTCATCGGATTCGCTCTTGACGTTCTTTCCTTCATTTTCAGGAGAGTTCCCTCTAGTTTCCTGATAGTAACGCAGTCTTTCCTGAGAAAAAAAGAAGAAAATAGCGCATCAGTTAAAGTACTACAGTAGTTTTATTTGAGCAAAGTAACTAACTGGCAATAATCCACATAGAAACAATATTTCAACTGCACGGAGTAGAACGAGTGCGCATTCTAAGAAATATTGGCAAAAGCATTTTCGAGAAAAAGCAATTAAATTGAGAAAACAAGGGCATATACAAAATGATATTTTTGTTTAGCTGCAAATATAATGGAACCCCATACCCTTCAGTTACGAACATCTCGCACAACAGTTGACTGCACGTGTACAACACGGACTGTGAATATGATTCTCATCGCGGATTGGCTCGTTGAGATCCTCACGGTGCAATTGATTCCTAGCACGAGGACGGAACATGCAACGAAAACACTTTCTTGCACGTAATATTCCTTAACACCAAATTGGGAACGTGGGGAGAAAAACACTTAAGCCAGTTTGAAATGCGGAGAAAAACTTAGCAAAGATTTCAAATAAAAGAAGAAAAACAAACAATGATAGAATGAGGATCTTACAACCAGTGTCAGGCTGAGAGATTCACCTAGACGATGCCAAGCACATCATCAATTTCAACGACATTCACAAAAATTTAACCCGTGATTCGAAGTAGGGCCTCATATAAATCGAATGACGGTATCAACCCAGTGTTCCATTGGTTTTGTTTTACTTCGCTTTGTAATCTGAACCAGCAAATCTTTCACCGCATCATCCTCCCAACCAATCAGGTATAACACTACACCCAAGCGCACCTGTGTCATTGCGATTTCCCTGCGTTTCCACTATTTTATTTACTTTCACTCTCAGTTATCCCTGGGAAAGGGATAACTGAGAGTGATAACTCAGTTATCCCTGAGTTCCAGCTAAAACAGAGCGGAATCGCACATGAAGTAACAATAGCTGACGAGTGAAAAAGCGAGGGAGTTATGGTATGGGTTGGGCTTCATTACGCGACCCGACCCGACTCTCCCTTCGTTTTCTTTTAACTCCCCCCCTTCTCCTCCTCCTCGCTTTATCACTCGTCCCAGATCTTCCGTCCGTCCAATCATGGCGACCAAATATATTCGCCGCGCTGAATCTCGCGCGTATCAACTACGGCCTGCAAGCAGGCTAAGCCTGGAATAGCTACTCTGCCCTTTATCTTTGTTCTGGCTTTCTATTGTAATTACTTTCATTGTTTTTTTTTTTCTTTCTCCAATAGTCGATCAATTTGCGTTCTAAGCGCGCTAAGCATGATTGTGTGTCGTGAGGCAAAAAATCCCAGCAACCAAAAGGTCCAATCAGATCTCAGAGAAAAAGAGCCAATCAGAAATCAACCAGCAAACTGGCTGAAGCGCGGGAAAAAGAGCGTGAACAACTCAATTCTTACCAATTCCTGGTTAGCTCGGTATATTTTACGTTTTGAAACGCTCCATTCGTTTAAAAGCTTTCGTTCCACTTCAAGTTCAAACTTCTGTTCATCCGTTAGAGTAGCAGCTAACCTAAAGACCAACGAAAAATGAAAAACTTGTATCAAATCGTTAATTCTCCTAACTGTATGCTTACATTTCTCAGAGGTCAGTTTTGAGAGTTTGTCGCAAAGAAATTAATTAACAATTTAGAACGTGGACAGTCTGTTCAATTGGACAGAGCCCAAGTTATCATCATTTAATCTGATGGGCATCTACATGGTCAAACACTTCCCGGATAATACATCTACCGATGATATGATACTCTGAATTATACACTCATTTTGATTGGTTCTCAATGAGTTGTATCACATGACCCATTCGGCCCCGCTCGCGCAATCTATCAGAAAACCATAGCGAGAGCTGCGTGAGCAGCGACCCGTTTCTCGAAGGTCCCGGTAACTTAACGGACCCGTAATGCTGTTATGTTTTCTTTTAAGATAGGGATTTCAAAAGTTTTGAAAATCATGCAATAAAACTATCAGTTAAAGAAACAAAGAGGACTTGTTTTGGGTGCCAGAACCTGCTTCCCTATCCTTTAAATTTTGATTTTAAAACAAGGCTTCGGGTCCGTTAAGTTACCGGGACTTTCGAGAAACGGGCCCCAGGGCCGGACGGGTTGATGTGAGCCGGTCCGAAAAAGTCCGGCCCTGCTGCCCAAACATCACTTTGTTGTAAAACCTTAACCCTAACCCTAACCCTCAAAGGTAAACAGAAATGAGATAAAAAAATGTGTTTTTCAAGGAATTGAGAGTTTCTTGTTCTGACTTGCAATAATAAAGGAACAGTTTTAATTGCATATATATATATATATATATATATATTTTTGTGCTCGTGTGGCTGCGTGTGCTGTTTATTAAAATTGAAATTTCCAACACTTAGTGATCATATCATAAAATAATTATTGACTGAGTTTGGTCGGGCCGCACCGGAAAATATTTGGCCCTCGGTCATGAGGCACGGACCTCGCTGCGCTCGGTCAATACGTCATGACCTCGAGCCAAATATTTTCCCGTCCGGCCCTCCCACTAAGTCATTATGTACAAAGTGTTGGAGATTCTGTACAGTAAGATATCACAGAAAACGTCAAAATGTGGTAAGAACATCGGTGACTATTCTTTGTGTGTCGCTATTTTTTGCGTCATCTGTGATGTAGAACTGAACAGATACACGGCAATAGGGAATCTATTTGTAAAGTCAAAATGGTTAGGACGTTCGCTTCAAATATTTTTAAACAAGTTTTTCATAATCAACTTTCTATCTGATTGGATCGAATAAGGCTATGATACAATCGTATTTCATTTCCTGTGATGGAATAACTTAAAAGTAACAGTCTGCTACGGAGGAAATCATGAAAAAGGTGTTAGCGCTCCATACCCGGAATCAGGATTGTGGGGTTTGGAGAAGTATAACACGCAAAACAAATGACAAACTTGAAAAATCTGGTCAGAAACTTTTTTTTGGCAAAATTTTCATGCCCTGAATCAAATTCTTAAACACCGAGGTTCAAAATCAAGATAAAAAGAAGGTACATACAGTATTGCCAGAGGTTTCACTTCCAACATTCGACTCAGAGCAATGACAGTCCAAACCTTGGGATCTTCTCCGCGGAGCTTTTTCACCTCTACGACCTGATAAAAAACGACGTTTAGACAACTGTGAATTGTTGACCAGCATACAGCTGTGCATGTAGTTCATTCATTAACATATACATCAGCAGTATCACATGAAAGTACTTCCTACTACCCTACATTTGAATAGTCAGAAAAGAGAAAAGGAATCAAAACGGAGAAAAACATTTTGTGCAATATTACAAAAGATTTCAGGCAAACGTAACGAAGCAATAAACTGAAGTTATAAAAATGTACAGTTTGCTAGGTAACTGCCGAGCACAGGCCGGAAAATTAGCGCCTTTCGCGGGGAATTCCTTCGCTATTTTTTTCCCCTCTCACTTTGACGACCAAAATGACCGCAGTTTGAAGCGCTGTAGACTTTTTCACCACGAAGAAAATAAGGCTCAAGCAACTGATATTGCTCGATAGCGTTCAAAATCGGAGCGTGCAAATTGCGACGAAGGCGTCCGAAATCCGTCAGCAGCGTCCATAATCGAACAGGAACGTCCGAAATTGGAAGGAGCTGTTCGAAAACGGACGGAAGCGTCCGATATTGGACGATTGCGCCTGAAATCAGACGGCACTGTCAAAAATCGGAAATAGACGGAAACAGACGTTCCGTCCGTTGTGATGATATTTTCTTTAAATAAACTTAGTTTCTTTCCACCCTGCTTTCCGTGGAGAAACTCCCTTAAATCTTCTGATTCAGGTTGGTATTTTCGGCATTTTTAATGTGGTCTACTGCTCCCTCAAGGGGAACAGCTTTTACTTGTTACTAGTGCAGTCTCACTTATGTTTTGACATCAAAATCTGTCTGTTGCAGGTAATCTGTCTTATATTTGTTGGCTTTACCAACGGTCCAAAGGTGCACTCGTTCATCCACTGATGCTAATGAATGTTAATACATATGCAAATAGCATTATTGAAAATTCATTCGTGATAATGAAGTTCATGGAAGTGCTAATGAATGTATATTTGCCGTATAGAGGTTTTGCACAGCAGCCATGTTGCATGGCAGAAACAATAGATTATTTTTCACATGGGAAAAAATGTTCTTTCTTATGCAAAATATTTTCATTGTTCCTGCCATGCAACATGGCTGCCATGCAAAACCTCTATAGTTTCAACTATTGAGGTAAATGAATGTATATTTCGCGTAAATGAACAGAAAAAGGTGTATTTACAACCAACCTCTTCCTTTGTCAAATGATCTCGATAGTTTTCAGTGTAATCGGTATCCTGGTGCCACCATACATGATAACCGATGTCCTATAAGATATTGATCACAGTATCTTGTTTGAGTTTCTTTCAAAAATGCGAGTAACATTCATCACTGAAGACAAAATTACATGTGGTATTCCAAGTTTGTCTGAATGAAAAACACATGCAGGGTGACAGAAGCAATTGACAACAAACTTCACCCTAACAACGTAAAAAAGGACATTGGAATAGAAATCCTGGAAGCATCTCCTGCATCTGTCAGTTAATTTGGTTAGGCAGGGGACGTTAAACAACGCACTTCATGAGATTACTGTGAGGTGGTCTGGCCTGTTTATTAGGAATTGGGGGGAGGGGGCATCTGTAAAATTTCTTCTTTATTAATTGTAAACTGCCGCTGGCAGTCTGAAAAAAGTCCCCCRCACAGTGTTGTAAAGCGCATTAGAACATTGCATGGAAATGCACTATAGAAATTGATATTATTATTATTATTATTATTATTATTGATGCTCATAAAAACAGAATAAAACAGGAGAGCTTAATGAAAGCAGACTTCTGAAGTTACACATCTATGATTTGCATTGATTTCAGCTGTTGAATGCCAGCTAATCATATCTGTACATAATGCTTCATAAGGTAATACATCACTCGTCACCCTTATTATATGTCTTGGCAAGTGCGTGCACTATGATTGGTCAATTTGAAGGGCTGTTTTTCACTTATGGCCTGTTCAATCAAAAAAGTTTTACCATAATATAAGTTATAGAATCTTGTTTTTTCTGATCAGATCCATGGCCCATGCACTTTGTGCTAGGGCCATAAATCTGAGCAGAAAAAACTTGGTGTGTAACGTATAGTGCAAACTGAAAAAAACAAGGTTTGCAAGAGATACTTATCACCTAAAGACCAGCAGTTAATGTAGTCCGCTTGTTGCAAATCAAATCAGAAGTGACTGAGTCATGAGAAAAACACATCTGTCTTTAAAGATTTTAAGCTCACGTAACTGTCCATTGATACATCTGGCTTAGCCACTAGCGATTACTGCTACATTTGTATAATCAGGAATAGAGTTTAAGTAACATCAATACCTTAGAAAACTGTAGAGGAAATGGCTTGGCTGGGTGGTAGCAAACAAACATTGTCTTGTCAGCTGACATTGTTATCTTGGCTCTATGAAGAAACATAAACAACTCATATTGTGATCTAATCAAGCTCTCTGCAAACCCTGTCATGGTCTGTCTCCTAATTCTCTTCACTGAAACACACACATCTCCTTACATGCTGCATTGGAGAATTTGGTTTTAAGTAAAAAAAATCTGTCTCAGGGCACCCAAGTTACAGATGGATTCAGGTTTAGAAATGGATACAAAATTTGACAATGGTTGTCCTTTACAACAAACCTCAGAAAACCTCTAAACCACAATATGGGCACTGTGGCTGTTTTCAAAGTCTTTTAACACCTGATTAGATTAGCTTTTTTTCTTATAACACAATAAATAATATTACAGAAAAATTTCTGTTGTCCTTGATTTTCCAATTTTTACACTAACCCTTCAGTAAATAAGTATAATTCCATATACTGCCTAGAAACATACATATTGATTTGTGATCTCGCTAAAAAGAGAAAAAGTACTCTACCCCAACCCCTTTAATCTCCAAATTTAAACAGGCACAGCACCCTTACTTTTCTATTCGACTCTCTGAGTCCGCTGTGTATTCTGGGAGAGGACCCTTCCTAGTCGTGGTATACAAGTTAAGTTCTGTTGGGTCATTTTCCAGGTTAAATTCTGCTTGGATCTGTTTCTCCGATTTTGGTTTCTTCATTTCCAATAAAACTTTCTTTCTTCTTAATCCAGCTTTGGCCCAAGCAGGGACACCAACTGTATGAGGTGTCTTCTTGTGACAAACTTGACTTGTTGAGAGGTTACATACGGGAACTGGAGGTAGTAATTCTAAGTCAAGTCATGAATGAGAAACGACCAGACATAGCCTGGTATCCACTTCGAAGTTAAGAAAAAGAAAAAGCAAAATATTGAGAAATACCTCTCAGTCCATGAGATTCTCTATAAAATTGACAAATTCGCGACGAGAAAATTCCAAAAGTATTCCTGCTGGCGGCCATGTTGGGAATTTTAAAACTATGAACGGTTACCCAGTTGTACTTAATTATAGTTTCTGCAGGGGTACCCTAGGGGAAAATAAGTTTATAAACTTTTAATTGATATCTTGCTTCCATTTGCTTAGTTGAAAACTCGATCATAAATTTGAGTTCCTTTTACTTCTTCCATAGGATAAAATGTGGTGACTTTGCGAAGGTTTTTCTCTTCGTGCCTTTCTTGTGTCAGCAATTTCCGTCATCACCCTACTGGGGCGTATCATTGGACGCCAAAGCGGGAATATATTGCACTTTCAAGAATGTGAATGGACAAATTTTTGCGTGATATTTGAAATTTCCTACTTTAATGTGATGCCAAACCTTGACCAATGTGTATTTATGAGTAATATGTAATTATGGGACAGTGTTTTGGAACAGAAGACGGTGGATTTTTGCCTTTTCGGCAAAAGCGAGGCTATGATCGCTTCACAACGTTCGCTCCGAAGAGCAAATGGTGAGTCTTTTAAAAGTCTTGTGTTTACAAAGCGCTTTAAAATCACATGTTTTAAAGAACTTTCTGCGAAGCCAGTCAAAGATCTAACGGGAAACTGTGAAAGGTAATTAAACACTGAAATTATTGTCAGATGAGTTAAAAATATTGTTTACTTTAACCTTCTCCGTGGATCTTGAACTCGTTCAAGTTTATTTGTGGGAATGAATTTCGAAACAGGCATGAAATAATGCGCAGTTTTAATCGAAATTTCAGAAATGGAAGGCTTTCAAAGGCTTATCACGATTTTCAAGCAAGTATTGACGTCAGATATATTTTTTCAGTTAGGGTTGTTTTCGTCTTTGCGGTTATGATTTGGCCCATTGCAACTTCTTTGTTACGACGATATGAAAATTTAATTGTGTATGATGCTTTTTGTTTTTATGTTCGTAAACATTATCTAGTTCTGTGTTGTGCTAAATGTTAATAAATAGGGTTATAATTTGGTAATCAGACAAGGTTTTGAAGCAAAAACGCATGGGAAGAAAAATTAGCAGAATTACACAACCTTAACATAACCGGAATGGATTACCGGTATTTTTTCGCATGGATATATATATAATGCTTAGGCATTAAATATTATGTACTTGTTGACTAGCAAGATAGCCGGACAGAAAAGTATTTAATTTAGCTTAAAGTCACGACGTCCGAATTAACCGCGTCATGTGTGAGAGCCAAACACTTCCCTTTTCAGCCCAATCTAACTCAGTTAATAAACCTGTTTGTCAAAAAAATGTTCAGGACTCTTTCTCTTTCTTCCTCTCTAGCTTTCACCTCACATCCCGGGGGATTGTGTGTTTTTTTTCTGGCCCTGTTCACACCATCGTACAGGGCCCTTATACAGAAATTATTTCCTTATGTTTTTTTTTTTAAATCTTGCAATGGGGCAGATAGTCATGTAAAATTTTATTGTTCATGTGAACTTATGTGACTTTTTTTTCTTTTTTGCAATAACACACGCAGTAATACATCTTGTTTCTTCTCTGGAAAATATAAAAGAGAGATAGGAGTGCTGCATTATCTAGCATTTGTTTATTTTTGATATAATTTCTATGTTATTTGTTGTTGATTTTTGAATTATCAACTCTCAGGCAGAGATTAAAGTGAAGTGTTTGTTTAATTCATAAAATCTGTAACAATTTTACCAGCATCATCTATATGCATTGATAGAGTAAAGCACTGTGAAAGATGAGTTTCTTTCCCAAGGATGGAACTCAAGTAACATTTGTCAGGGTTCAAACCTATACCTATTTCTCAAAAACTCCAGCAGTCATCAATCTCCCAAAAATTTCCATGTTTTTCATATAAGATTAGGATATTAACAGTTTGAAGTTAAATCAAGATAGATACATGAATCAGGAAATGGAACAAGATGAACTTTTTTTTTGACCAAGACGATCTAGGCTCAACCTGAGACTTATTTGAATTAAACAATGCCTTGGGTTCATAGCATCAGGGGAATGCTAGCCCCTGAACTTTTAAGTTAGGAGACTAGTGCACAAATCAACTTTGTATTACAGACTTAAGTAATGCTCGTGACTTGTTATTTGAATTTCAGGAGATATGCTGATGAACACTTATTGACAGAAATACAGGATCCACGTTCTGATGATGAACTTGATTTATCAGGTGCGTAGTGACAGAGAAAAAAATGTTTCACCCAGAAATACTTTATTTTATAACAATATAACTTGAATCAAAGACAACACTAACTCTGAACCAGAGCACATGTAAATTAAAGCTTTTTGGTTTCATTGAGATCTAATGCAATTAAGAAAAAAAAATGCAGATTACTCTCTGTTTTTTCAAAAGGGTTTTCGATTCCAAGCTGTTCAAATACCAGATTGTATGTGTCTCATGATACACCTAGGGATATTCATACGAAAACAGTATCTGATATGTTTGTTCTTTTTCTTGGTTAATTAAGGGAACAAAATAATTTATGAAATGGAAGTCCAGCATCGGAATTGAAAGATCTGTCTTAGCCTGTAGGACCAGAAATTTTTAAGCTTTGTGTTAAATTGTGGAATATCTTTGTAATGTAGCTCTTCCACAAAATTTTTAACCCTCTGGGTTCTTTAAATTATTTTTGAAAAATTAGTTATTAAAGTCCCTTTTGATATTTTGATGTGGACCTGGTTTTTTGGTGATAGAGGAAGACAACAACTTCCCCTTAATTAGTTTGAGTAGTCTTGGTCCTTTTTTGGCCAAGCAATTTTGAATATTTATGAGAGAAGTCACATGTTAATTGATGTCACCCTCAGAAGTGAGTGTCATTTTATTTCTTTTTACATTACCTATACATTATCCACCAAATTGGGGACCAGAATGGATAAATTTACAAGCTATGGGGTGCCTTGATGTAACACCAAATTCTCCCAATTAATTTACCAGAATTTGTGACAGCTTGAGTGGAGAATTTTAAATCACATCTTTGTTAGGAACTCACCATTATAATTTTTTTTTATAGATGTAAGACGTCAAACAGGCAATGGACTAAATTCGCAACAAAATCCCCAGTCCTCAGCAAATGTCAGGACAGGACTCAGACAAGAAAGGTATTTAATAATTAATGTTGAATCCACCCAATTAATAACAATGATTGTCACCCCAGGACTGCAGTGTAAACCTGATCTCTAACTACCTGGCAATGAAACAAGATTTAAAATGTTGTGCACAGGAAAAAGTGTAAATGCTCTGAGACTGTTGGAAGTCTACACCTGCTTCATGTTTGATAACATCAAAAGTATGGGGTGGGAAACAGGGGAGAAGAAGGGTCTGTAAAAGTGTCGAGAATGAGCTGGTTAGGGATTACTCTCAATTATATCGTCTTTTTCTGTTTCATCCCAAACCCTTGTTTCTTTTTCATAATTGATAACAAACTTGCAGTAGCACTCTAGAGTAAGCTCAGAGACTATTTACACACAACAAGATCCTCCATTCTTGAAACAATTTAAGATTGTGGATGGAGAATGGAGAGTCAAGAATTGAGTTTCGAGGGAATGTCCTCTTACTTTTGAACAGTACTGTTGTTGTCTGAATCTGTACCTTTTTTTGCTTAAATCATTTCCATACCTGTTCATAATTAGGTAGAGGTATAGTCAACCACATGTGTAGTGCCGTAAAGTGTTGACAATTAATCCCTTGAAACTCAATCCTTAAACCTCAATTCTCAATCTGCAATTCTCAACAATTTCAATGATGGAGGATCAAATTTCAAGTTGAGTCTGTTTACTTACTTTTTACGCACACTTTAGTTATGTGGACCTCTATTTCTTGCCTAAATCAGGTCCATACCTCTTTATAATATTTAAAGCAAACTGGTCTTCTCATTACTTAAGAAATTTTCTTTGTCCAATGCGGGATGTGTACTGATACCAGAATTTCATTTTCTCAAGTCTAGATTATCTATTGTTGATTAAGATATGTTATTTACCAGGAGGTAAGTCTGTATGGGAACAAGCTGTGCCTGTGGTCTTGGGTATTGGCTGAGGGCTGTATTCAAGACCAAGGGTACTATAATTTTTTCCCATCTGCATTGGCCTAGACTGGGAAATAGTTAACTGCTTCATCAAATGTACACTGATGTAAACTTGCTTTAGTTATTAATAATTTTAGCTGTAATTGTATGGACATCATATTTAGTAGTTTAGACTACATTTGATCTTCCTCTGGCTTCCACCATACACTTATTCTTGATTTATAGGCCAGAAAGATAGCAAGCACAAGTTCAGGACAAATTCATTGAAGGATTCACCTCTCTAGGAATATAATCTACAATATGCTGGCAAATATTAGAATTAAATGTTATATTATCAATTGTAATGTAACCCATTGACAGAAGCAATTGCACCAGGAGCACTAATATCAAACAGGCATTTATGTGTGTGACTACTTTGATGGCCAGTATTAATGGTGGTGCCATTGGTGTGCAGTGAAGGAAAAATGTTTTGTGAGAAGCAAAGGGGTATGCGTATTGCATGCCAACCAACTGCCAACTGCATAGGCTGGTGTTGTGGTCACCCATGAATGGCAGTTTTGATGTTGAATTTCATTGACAAGAAAAATTATTTTGTAGCATTTGTATCAAGGGATTTTTGTAGGAAAATGTAATGGTCTAAAATAATTTATTGAGCCAAGTATTTTCAGTGGCTTTGTCTGATCCATTGTCGATAAAGTTGGGTAAATATTTTTGGATAATTTGGCTCTTAATGTATTTAGGAGTTATGTTTTCATTGTTTGACTCAAGTTTGAAACTTGGCATGATACAAAGTAACGTAATCAGCACTGGACTTTGAACAAACTTCTTAAAAGAGTTTTTGTGATAAAATGCATCAAAGACCTGCTATTGCAGGTGAGGAATATATATTTTGCACAATCTGTCCTTTGTAAGTTTTTAAACATCTAAACGTTACCATAGCTGTTCATTGTCAAATAAAGTTTTTTGAAATTGATGTTGTGCATCTATGGAAGTGTGTATGAATAACCTTGAGAGCGTCTTGCACGGGTGGATTACTCTTGTCCGCCATGTTTTTGCTGTCCCTCCAAACGATCCCAAGAGCCTTTGTGCTGGCAAATCGTACCCAGACCGCCGCTCGTTTAGAAAATGGCGAATTCTTAATGAACCACTCCCTCAACGGGGCTTTTCAGTGCCAATAGAAAAGAATGAAAAAATGAATGAACGAATGAATGCAAAATGTGTTTAAAACTCTGGTAGAGGGCAGACCAGTTGGCTTTATAAAAAGCGGCCAAGGAGTTGGATTTTTGGCAAACGAGTAGTAATTCAGTGAGCAGTAGGGTGAAGGGCTTAAATTCAAGACCACCATTAAGACTGGTGCCCTTTCTGCTCAGCCACACTAATGTTGTAAATGTCTTCGAATATACGTGAGGTTTACATCAAAGACCTGCCGGAATTTCCACGAAAAAGTGTTGCAGCGGAGCCATTAGCTTGTGTCAGGCTTTCGCTCAGAGGAAACGAGCGAAAAAAGTAAAGGGCGATTAGAAGGGCGGGGTCAGAAAAATCGTCGTCAAATCCTCCTTTTTCGCTTGATAGTTTCACAAATTAGACAGTTACCATTGTTGTTGAAAGGCAGCACTCAATGTTTTTCGTTGCAGTCTTTATATGTTAAAAAGTGTTCTGATTGGGGACGTTGGTAAATTTTGTCTTCATGGGCTCAAATCAGGAATGATTTTTCTGATTCGCGCTATCACCAACGATTCAAGATAGGATTAAAACTTCAGAGTGGCAGCTAATAGAGTTTTACAAGCTTTCGGGACCCTGTCGTATTTAAAAAAATTTGCCTGACTGAAGGCTAAGAAGGCTACGCTAGGTCGGTAAATAATTAATCTTTAAACAGACAACTAGGAGAACCCCCTTCAAAAAGTTCAAATTTACCAGAACTCACGAAATTGGTTATCACCTCTTTATTGGTTTATAAAAGCAAAAGTTAATGTTAAATAACTTTGTCTAGCTTTATCAATTAATGTCGTTCTATAAATATTAAATATGATATTTAAAATGCGGGAGTATGTCACTGATACTCTGTTTCACGAATGAGGGCTAGAGTCACTGAACAGTTATTGGCCGAGTGAATCTTAAAAGCACTCCTCTTTGACCCTGAATGAATAAAGGTGGGAATTTGAGGAAGAAATCTGAAAAATGACTGCTTTGATCATGGTTGACTTCCTTCGATAAACGCTTAATGAATAAAATGCAGAATTGTGATATTTCAAGTATACCAGAAATGCACGAAAACTGTCGATCGATCACTCTCTCAGTACAAGGTAAAAAAAATTGATTGTAATGTTTTTTTTTTAAGTGTTCGGTACTTAGTTTATTTCCGAAGTACCTAGAAATGCTATTGTTGTACTGAACATACCACTGGATTACAGCGAAAATAGCGATGATTATTAATTTATACCATATTATATATTTACCATTGGATTACAGCGAAGATAGTATTTACTAAAACAGTGGATAGCAATGAAGACGCGCTCTGATTGCCTACTCAAACTCCAAGAGTCCTTTGCTATTTACATCCGAGCAACGCGCGCGGGATTAACGCCCCAAAATATTGTAGTCGTTATAGAAACAGGTTACTTCCACATAGAAACGGCAAAGCGCAACCGGCAAACGTAAAAAAATGGCGGGAAAAACAAGGTCACGTAGTCATTGTTCCCGTTCGCGTTTCACGTAAACGTGGTGCTTAATCTCTCTATAGCGATAATGCAGTTCTGCTATCATAGTTGAACTGATTTCCGTATTCCCAAAAACTTGGGTCCGTACTTCGTGTTAAACAATCCGATCTATCTCCAAAATGTTGAGTACAGTGTCCCAGGAGCAGGGGTTCGATGTGCAAGCCAACCAGGCCCGCAGTCAGAATACCAGTGGTCTCTAGTATAGACGCAAGCGTGATAGTGAATGTGACGTGCTGCGAGAGGAACCTTTTTGCGATTATGTGGTATGAGTTCGAGAAAATCATCCCACAAATTGTACCCTGGATGAAGCACAGCAGCCAAATGATCCACACCTCTGGAACAAGTCGGTACCAGGTCGCTAGTAAAAGAAAAAAGGTCTCGACTAGAGGAAAAATCGCGAGCACTGGGGCCGAGGTGCAGAAAAATCCTGGCGAAACCGTGCGGAGCATGGAAATAAAAGTTCGACCAAGGAACTCTCCAACCATGGTGCTCAGAACATAGTGCTCAAAATGTCCCCGTGGAACGAATTCTGGACCCACGCCTGTGCCCTTAAATACTAGTGTCGTCAGAATTGCCGAAAGAACCACGTATTCTCCAAAATACACCAGGAACAAAATCAGCAAGTGATGGCTCGATTTCCACACCGACAAAGATCTTTCTCTCCAACGTGAAGTCAAACGACAGTCTACTTCAAATTTGCGCTGTTCAAACCGTGATATTAACCCAGAAGTTTGAGAATTACAGACGAGATGAAGATTTCCCCTTGAAACTGCGAACAAAAGTAGAAACAACGGCGGCCATATTGCCGACGCTAATATCGCTGTTCTTGGGTCTACTGTGGCCCAGACTGTCAAGCCTGTGAAAAAAAAAGAACAACAACAAAACAAAGATCAGAACAAAGGTGAATTTCATAAGAAGCCAATGAGAACTCAGTAGGAAAATGAGCGAAGTGAACGAAGTGCGGTAAAACAGAGCTTTCGATTGCGAATGGTTCTAAATTTGGTATCTGATAGGTTGAGAGGGTGGCGCGGGTTTTCTGGACCCAGTACAGAACGAATTAAAACAAAACCAATGGAATATCGTCATTTTTCAGAAAGACATAAGATTTATCGCGACAGATCTATTTAACGCGTTGTGGTATGTGACGCAGACACACCAACACTTTGCCAATTCAGATACAAGTAAATATATATGAAGCTCATATATTTTGAACTGCGGTATTAGATACATATGGTGAACGATCCTCGCAGTAGATAGCGCTATTTAAGCAATAGCGAAAATCAGACCTGGAAAAAAAATCAGGCCTGTACGGGATTCGAACCACTGACCTCTGCGATACTAGTGCAGCGCTCTACCAATTGAGCTAACAAGCCAACTGGGAGCAGGCCGTTAAGTTGATTCGTAATAAACCCGTGAAAGTGATAAATCAGATACAA